TTTAATATAATAAATAGATTTTTATATTAAAAAAATAATTTTTTATATTATATCCGAAAAAAAATGTAGGCGACTCAATGCGCAGCTAGGCGCGCATCAGGCAAGGTGCGCATAGGCTTGCCTGATGCGTGCCTATGCACGTATTAGCCCGCATGTCAACAGTTTTTGTTGACCGCATTTTTACGCTCATACCACAAACACGACACGCCTAGGTGCCGCATTTTGAAGAATTTTAGAACACTGGTTGATACCACTATTGGGAATTTGCTTAATATGCACAGCGAAATTTAGACAATATTTCAATTCCACTAAAGATCTGCTTTTTGTTTAGAAAAAATTGTGATAAAAAATTATATATTTAGTTAATTCCACAAAGAACGGTCATAATCTGTAATTCACAATTGTTCAATTGTACAACCTCCAATGGAAATGTACACTGTGAATAAGAATAAGATAATTATGATTTCTCATTTCTTATGCTAACAAGATAATAATTGTGAGTTATTTATTTTCTCAACCCTAACAACATATTAATAGAAATTTAAGTGAGCTTGGCCCAACATTTGAACTTAACCGACTTCAATGTTTAATTAATTGAACTCGGTCCATTAATTAATCTAATTACCTCATTTGACCCATTAATGAGTAATCCAATTAATTAATTAAATAAAAGTTCAACGCTTGTCAATAATTAATTAGTAATATCATTATTCTAGTTCACATTTTGTGTGTGACCCATTATGCTCTTGACCATGATACCTAATGACGTAAATTATTATTTTGATAAAATCAAAATAAGATAAATTAAAATATCCTTTTAATTTATTATTAATTCACCTAAATTAATAATAAGTCACATTCATCGTCCACGTCTAGCAATGTATTAGGGCAACACATGTGATTGAAAATATCACGTGGTATAACAAAATCAAACTTATTCGTTTATCGTGAAACTATAATATATTCATCAATATGATATGATCAATTACGAGATATCCAGTGTGTCAATCTCGATTATCGATCATATCTTTCATCCCACTATTAAGTTAATGTAAGTCGAAAACTCTTTTGACTTATGACTTCACATTGGCCAATAATTTAGCTATCAACTTAATTAAATGAAGTGTAGATCATAATATCTTACTACCTAAGAGTGATAAATTTTCTATTGACCGTTCACAACATTTATATGATTCTTGATATATTCGAACGATGTCGTATTAGCGATTCTTGACAAAACAACATCAAATATCACCAAAGTATGATTGTCCTCATATAAGAAACCATGATGACCTCAAGTCGTATGACCAATTTCACTATTTTAAGTTAGAGATTAACCATTGATACTCAAATAGTTATTCATATGAAATCTCTTCAACGGGTCTCTAATATTTTATTATCTTTACAAAATATTTATATGTTCATTTAAATGTCAGCACACTTTATCTTGCGAGATCATTTACTTACTCCTCAAGTAAAAAATATCACACGTGATAGTTTGTTCGTAATAATGATATTCGTATCTCATTATTACTTACGACAATGGATGATTTAAGATTCAGTCATAAGCAATTTTTATCTCGCAATCGTAGCTTCTTGTGATTAACAAATTGCTAAAGTTTAAATTTGCAGACTCTATTATTTAAATTAATAAAATAATAATTCAATTAAATAATAAATTTATCATAAATAAAATGCATTAATCATATTAAAAGTATTTACAACCTAAATCGATTGGACTTGAGTCATAACACTTACATTACTTTAAGTAGTTATAAGACGTAGATTTTATGAAATATGAGAATATTGAGTGAAATTTATAAAAAGTGATATTTATTCAGTTTAAATTATAATTTATGTTTCATCAAACATTCAGACTGTTTGTGACATGACACTACGAGTCTAGGCAGCAGGTCTCATTACCTTGCAATTGTCGACATGCCTAATTGTCGTTAGATATAATTGTTACTTACTCATCACAATAGTAGTGTCCCGTGAAATATACCCTAAGGAGACATCCCTTTTAACTTGCTTCAACTTTGACTCTTTTCTATTTAGTAGTAGTAGTAGCAATGATCGACGTAATCTCAATACACTTTAGATAATATGTTGTATCTCCATT